CTGTCTGTCTTTCTCATTTTTGTCTCATATGCAAATATAAAATGTTTACTTTTAAGATATCCTTCCAAGTCACTTGTTAAAAAGAAACAAGGGTCTGTATCTTTCCACCTGGTTGAATTCAAAGAGCTATAGTACTCTAGCAATGCTATCATCCAGATCACATTTCTCTCCTTTATGTGAAAGACAAATTCATTGGAGGGTCTCAGGATTGGGCATTAAAAGGCTTGTAGGACAACTACTCACCCAAAGCTTGTACCCTCGATTCAGTACCTTGGGCAAATGGCCACTCTTTTTGTGTTTAAATGTCTGTGGTGATGGGAAACTCCAAATCCTTCCTTCTCAACAAAGTCCAATTCCTTTCAGGATAGCTCTGTTAGAAAACTCATTCTATATTGAGAAGAAATTTGTACCCTTCTAGTTCCTGCTCATAGGTTGTAGTCCTGCCCCTCAGGGACCTTTAGAACATGTCTTTCACGTTATAGTCCGTTAAAGATTTGATAACAGTGATCATGTTTCTCCAAGTCTTACCTTTTCCTGGCTAAAAATTCCCTGTTGCTTTTGTGAGTTTTTCATATGACATAGTTTCAAGTCATGTCACTGTGTTAGATACCCTCTGCCAAATATGCTCCAAGTGACAATTTCTCTTTAAAGTGTGATACCTGTAACTGGGCAAAGCATTATAGTTGTAGTCCTTTAGGCACAGTAAGAGCCAGGATGATCCAATTCACTGAAACCTAGTGAACTCAACTGTATTTAACAAACAGGAATTAAGCGCCAACCTGTCACCTCCTCCTGACCCTGTGTTTTCTCAACCTGATTCACTCCAGAATCAATCTAGAAATGTTTTTAATTGATTGGGTCTTATTTAGAAATTAATAAAATACCTATTTCTATTTATTAAAAGAAATAAAATGGAATGTAAAAGTATTCCTCCTTATTCTTTGTTCCAAGTTTCAATTCTTAAAAGTAACCACTACTAAAATTCTCATGAGAATCTTTTTGAAAAATTTTTTATAACTACATAAACATATAGCTCAATCTATCTCTTTTTTTTTTCCCACATAAATGGGATAACATACACACTCATCTGAAATTTGTCTTTTCACTTATCATGGGTATCTTCCATACCAAACATACATTCAGCCAATTTACTACTTTAAACAGCTTTTAACGTTCACGGCTAAGAGACATTTAGGTTGGTTTTAGCTTTTGCCATTAGAGATAAAACTGCATAAAAACCTTACTCATAGACTTTTGTGCATGCGCACACATATATCTGTACCATAAATCGCTGGAAGTGGAATTAGTGGACCCAAATGTATGTGTATGTTTTATTTCAATAGATATTGCCAAAGTGGAACTTACATGTGCACACACACACACACCCACACACACACAACTGGGTCGCACTCCAGACCTACTAATCCTGAATTTCGGGATATACTGTATAAAAAGTATGCAGTTTAAAAAATAAATTTGAAGTGCAGAGAAAGTTGAGAATAAGATTTAGAACTTATTCTTTGATGAAAAAATGTCAAATCATATTAGTTTTTCTGACAGCTATATCACACTCTTGATTTACATTGAAATTACTGTCAACTAAAACCTGTAAGCCTTTTGGAGTGTCAATTTTTTCTAAGCCATATTTCTTCCATTCCCTATTTTGAAATTTGTTTTATAGTGCCCAATATATATGGTTTAATATTTATACCTATTAAATTTCATCTGGATACTGAGATTTAGTCCATATTCTAGAATATCCCAATTCTCTGTGACTGGATATTTCAGCTAATATATTTCCTTTATTCTCCTATTTTTAACTGAAAATTTTAAGAACATTATTCTATAATTTTATCCAAATCACTAGTAAAACACTGAAATGAGCTGGGTCAAGAGCAGATCACTGCAGCCTACCAGTAGAGGTCTCACCCGTGGTTACCAACTGTACATTAATCATTCATTTTAAGGATTTTTTTTTCATCAGTTGCAACTCAAACTAATTATACTATACTTTTTGTTTTTCATCTTGTCAAATGAAAATGAAATGTCAAATGAAAATTCTCTATCTACACACTAGATAAATATTTTTGGTGAAATTGATAGGACTTGTTAATGGATTAGATAGGAAAAACAGCTATTAGCTATCAGAATATAAGCTTCACAAAGGCAAGGATTTTTGTCTGTTTTCTTTACTATTTTCTCCCCAGATGCACAAAGAATGCCTACCACATAGCATAGGATCAATAAATATTTACTGAATGAAGAAAGGAAAATCTCCAGGTTTTTCGCCAGAGCAACTAGGTGAATGGCCATGCCATTAACTAAAATCAGTAAGACTGAAGAAGAAGCAGAATAAGATGCAGATGGAACAATCAGGAGTTCCATTTTGGCTATTTTAACCTTTAGATTTCTTCTAAATATTAAAGAGAAAATGTCAAAGGGAAAACTAGATATTTGAGTCTAGTCTTTAGAAGAGAGGTCTGGCCAGGAGAGAAAAATCTGGAAGCCATCAGCATATAGCCATGGAATTTATTGTAATAATTAATAAAAAATTAAAGAGTCCCTGAAGGACATTAAAAAAAAGATCTGATTATGGAGATCCATAAAACATGTTTACTAATGGAAAGATTCAACATCTCATAAAACATGTTTACTAATGGAAAGATTCAACATCTCAAAGGAGTCATTATTCCCTAAAATAATCTAAAATTCAAAACATTTTAACAATTTCAATAAAAATTCTAACATGTATTTTCATGGAACTTGACAAGTTGATCCTGAAAGTTATATGAAAGAGCAAAAAGTAAGAACAGCAACAATTTAAAGCAAAAAACAAAGTGAGCCAATTTGCCTAGAAGATATCAAGATTCAGTACAATTAAGACATTGCAGTACTGTCACAGGGATAAAGAAATAGAGCAGTGGAACAGAATGGAGAGCCCAGAAACTTGTATACTTTGAAACGTATTTCAATTTGTCTACCAATCTATATTTACATATGGAACAGTAGTAAAAAAATTATACACATTTGATATGTATGTATTATATATGTATAACATATTATATAAAACATTTATTGGGGGCCAGCCCAGTGGCATAGTGGTTACGTTCGGCATACTCTGCTTTGGCAGCCTGGGGTTCATGGGTTCGGATTCCAGGCAAGGATCTACATTACTCATCAAGCCATGCTGTGGCAGCAACCCACATACAAAATAGAGGAAGATGGGCACAGATGTTAGCTCGGGGCAACTCTTCCTCAAGCAAAAAGAGAGGAAGGTTGGCAACAGGTGTTAGCTCAGGGCCAATCTGAGCTAACACACACAAAAATTATTGTATATGTATGCATGTATTATATATGTGTATAGTATTACATATATGTGCCCACAAATTTGTGTAAAATAATGTAAACATTTAAAAAGTGTGTGTGTGTGTGAGAAACAATGGTAGCATTTCACATTAATTGGGAAAGGATCAACTATTTAATACATGATGGTGGCCCAACTGTTAGCGCTGCAAAAAAAGAAAGAAATACATCCCTACCTCATGTTAGACATAAAAATAAATTTTAGATGAAATAAAGATCTAAATGCTAAATAACAATACTTCAATTTTTTTAAAAGAAAATGTGAGAACTATATAACATTTTTGTTGGAAGAATTTCTTAACAAGGCACAAACCAACAAACCCTGGCACAGGGTAGGTGCTCTATAAATGTCTACTGAAAGAATTAAAAGATGGATCATATGTTTACATTAAAGTTCTTAAAATCCTCTATGATTAAAATATTATTTTAAAAGTTAAAAGAAAAGCTATGGTCAACAGAAGATATTTTTAACAAACCTAAGCAATGCAATAAGAAAAAGACAACACAACTAAAAATTGGCAAAGGGTTGAAGCAATTCACAGAATTAGAAAGCCAAATGGTCAATAAACATTTGAAAAAAATGTTTTCTTTAGTAATCAGAAAATTATAAATTAAAACCAATGAGAGATATTTAATACTCTTCCGATTCAAAAGACATTTTAAAAAGTGACAGCACCAAGTGGAAAAGTGAGAATACTCATAAGCTGTTGAGGGGAGTAATAAGTGATTTAACCACTTTAGAGACCTCCTTCCAGTATTCTATTCCCTGTGGGATCTCACAGAACACTGACATCACTTGTGAGATCTCAGTTGTAGGTCCTCTAGATGCCACTTCTCCAAGTCAGTTTTTACTTGTTAATCAACATTAAGTCAAAGTTTTAACTTGTCAATCATCATTAAGTCCAAAGAAGTGGTATCCCTGACTGTTTCCTCAATATTCCTAGAGATGAAATTGTCAGCAAGGCAAATCAAGAATTTATCACATACTCTGCTTTTAGTAAAATGAGAATCTCAGCAGATGTCCAGAGACTTGAAGTCTCTAATCATTGTCATATTTCACATCTGTACAACATTTGTGGTCTCTTTTAGGAAGTAATTATCCATATTATTTCTTGCTTATTCTGAGACAAGGTGTTTATGATTGCCCTTATGTGTATCCTGATTCATGACTTCAAGACTACTAGTCATCTAGAAACAATTCCTTAAAAATGTGTTGCTCCTTAGATTTTAAAAAACTCCTGAATTGCAGACAAGAAAATATTTCTTGGCTTTTTTCAAACTCATGTCTTCTTTAGATAAAAGGAAAAAGAAAGTCATTCCTTTCATGCTATTTGAGATTTTGAAACAAACAATGACCAAAATAAATAAAATCTATCGGATAAAGCACTGCCTTGATTTCAAACTATACCTTTCTCTTACAAGAATCTGATATGGTCCCTTACAGAATGTTACAAGAACCAAGTGCTAAGTAAAGAACTAGGTGCTTAGTAAAGAATAAGACATGACCTTAGGATGAGTCATCTTCTGTGTTTAAAATAAATATTTTAATACCTTTCCCATATGTATAAAAGTCTGAAGCAGTACATATAATTTTTATAGCTGGTTTAATGAAAGAGACAGTAGCTTAGTTATCATACCTGTGGACACAAGGTTTCCAGGTGATTGGCTGCAGTTTTGACAATTTTAATCCCATCTTCATTTGTTGACATGGAACAAGCAAGATTTGCCACCTTAAATACAATCCAAAATAATGGAAATTATTTCAGATTATCAAGGAAATTCAGAAACATTTTTTATCCTAGACAAATAAGAGTATGTACACATTCATTGAAAATATCAGTGACAACAGCATTTTTATAAATGTCAGTGGTATCTGTTTTATGGAAGTATTCAGAGAATCTATTAAAAGAAATAACAACAAAGAGCTCTAGAAAATTGTTTAAAACAAAAAGGAAGACTGGTGAGTGAATCAATAAACCCTATACAGTCTCTTGGTATCAACATCTAACCCATAATAAGATGCTAACTATTATGGTTTCCTATGAGACTGAAAAAAAAAGTTTATCTATGGATTGAATGTTAATAGGTTCTTGGAATCTCATATGATTGTGGTTTATTTTAAGTTTGTAATTGGTATATTATTTCCCAGAGATCTACTACGCATACTTAAGTTGCATTAAGCATGACTGTATCTTTATTCATGTTTTATTCAGCATCAAATATACTACAAAGCTGGACAAATACAAGATAATTAAATTCTTCTTCCTGTTCTTGATTTTCTACTACAATTGCATGAGCACTCTTTGACTTTCCAGCGGTTGATTTGATTCAAACAGTAGTAACACCCAAATTCCTTTATATGTTACTGCTTTTGAAACGTATACTCTTTTCTAGGGAAATGGGTGCTCTTTTAAATAAGTACCTTTATGTCCATTACCTAAGTCTGATATTTACAAATACTTTCTTTATGCCATGAAACAGTCATGTGAAAGAACATGAGATTCCTTTCCCTTCCTTTGAACCTCACTCTTATTCAACGTCCCTCTTACTAGCAGGTGAGTGTGTTATACAGAGCAGCGTTTTCTCTGATCTACAAACTACGTCATTATCTTCATCACTGCAAGGAGATCACCTTTCTAACAATTATTTTTCTAACTTTTCTCTGTTAGTTATTGTATACTTTAACATGTTGTAGATTTTGCTGCTCAAATCCAAAACGCATTCAGTTGCAGAGAAACCGTATATTAGCTGCATGCAATGGAAGTGAACAACAAAAATATTTTTGGATCACTATTTGTAGAGTACCACAAAATGTTACTTAAATGGATTTATAGTCTTTGTTTTTTTATAGCATTACTTTTAGTATGTCAAAAGTGAAACTACTCCTTGGTTTGCATTTACATATAATGAAATAACAGCCATACATCATTTAACTGCGGAAGGGCATTGTTCACTTTATTAATATACATGGAAATGGCTTACTTGAAAAGGTCTTTTGCTGGCTTGAAGGTCACAATGCCTCAACTTTCATATATGAACCATAATTAGCACATTTTCACATTATTTGAAAAGGGCAGCAGTTTCTGTGCCCGTCTCCCCTGCCTCCCAAGCCCCACTCACAGAAAGAGAAATTCAGCAGTCTAATTGCTTTAATATGTTTTATAATAATTTGCACTGAACTTGCAGAAAATAACTACCTGTAAATTTGAGCACCGTTGGTTTTAAGTAAAAAAATTAAAAATCAGTAGCTCAACCTTTTGGTCAAATCACATGAATGCTGGTTAATTGAAAGTTTAAAAATTACAGAAAGGTGCCCCACATAGACACTCTTTTACTTTATTTTTTAATTCATCATCTTTCTCTTTTTTTTTCCTCTTTTAAAAACAAACATTCTTGTTCTGGACATTTGCTGGCCACCATGTTTATTGTAGGCCAATTTAGTGACTAATGTAACATGGAAATCATACCAACCACAAAGTTTCTGTTTATATTAACAGACTTAAGTTTTATAAAACTCCTAATTGAAAATACAACACAACTAAAAGTTTTCTACCCAACTAATGATCATACTAACACTCTTTCTGTCTTCCTTTATTCAGACATACCTGAACTACTCCTTAACAGAACTGTTCTAAGTCAGGTAAACTTTCTAGATAATCAAGTACTGGTTTCAAATTAAGTCATGTGGAGTTTTAGTGACATTTTATATAAACAACTTTGAAATTGTAAGATAGCTGTTATTTTTTGACAAAACAGAATATGTTAAGTGATAGAAACAAACTCTCGTAACATTTCTAATTTGAGTGATTTGTGACATATTTTCCAAAGTCACATCAATGTGTAAATGAAAGCCAAAATTTCTTCTAACAATATTCCTAAGTTCTGCGTGGCATTTTAGGGGGTCAAGTAGGTTCCTGAGCACAGTATGTAGCCAACTCCCTACTGGTCAAAGAAAACAGCATGCAAATAAAATATTTTGTAAAATAGCTTGATATATTTGGACATCTGACATCTTTCGTATATCTAATTTTGACAATGTTTGAAAAGTCTATATAAAGCTTCATTATTCAAGACTTTCTTGTGGAAAGTTTCTACCCACTAAGGGAAATTAGGCATAGGAAGGTTTTGGGGACAAACAGATCCGGATTTAAACCTCATTCTCACAATTAATAAACTTTTTGGCTATGGACAAAATGTTAACTTCTCTGAGTCCATTTTGTCACGTGTAAAATGGGTATGATAATATCTGCCTCACTGGAGTGCTTTGAGGATTAAATGAGATGGTGTGTGGAGATGACCTGATACCAGGTAGCCCTGGCCATGTATGGATTTCTTTCCAGCTCATCTATCTCTCTATTAATGGGGATGGGAAAGAATATCCACTCTCTGAAGAGGTTCTATAGAATTAAAACCTTAGGAGCCTAAGGAAATTTGACAAAATGTATAAAATGAGAGCCACAAACTCAAAAGTGTTCAGGACTCATGCAAGGAATATAAACATAGAGTCTAGATGTAACTCAGTGGCTGGGGTGGGTCCCCAGGCAAACATGAGCGCCTATGCCCTACCTCAAGGCATTAGAACTCATTAAAACAAGATGAAATAAAAGGAAAAACTCACTGTCTTGAGCAAACTAACAGTCTGCTGGCTTACTTTAGTTCATAGGTCACCATTTGTGATTTCTGACTCCATTCTCTAATTCTCTATTGTATAGAGAGGAAAACAAAGTCAAACGGGGAGAAGAAATATACTCAAACCATCCAGTGACAGGGAGACTATTAACTAGGGATACGCATGTGCTCTTTATGCCACCCTAAATTAAAGTATTGACAAATGTTCCTGCATTGAAATGATTGACCAGATTTTTTATTGATATTGTGCTATATCCTTAGCCAAGTCCAAGAAAATCAGAGTCTAAATTATCCTAAAGAAATGGGACCAGGGGCCGACCCGGTGGCGCAAGCAGTTAAGTGCTCGCGCTCCGCTGCAGCGGCCCGGGGTTCCCCGGTCTGGCTCCCGGGCACGCACTGACGCACTGCTTGTCAAGCCATGCTGTGGCGGTGTCCCATATAAAGTGAAGGAAGATGGGCACAGATGTGAGCCCAGGGCCAGTCTTCTTCAGCAAAAAAAAAGAGGAAGATTGGCAGATGTTAGCACAGGGCTGATCTCACAAAAAAAAAAAAAAGGGACCAAAGGCACTCAGGTAAATTCACAAGTTTATTAAAAAGAAAAGACTGGCATTTAATGTTCTGTCATTTTTTACAAAAGACTAAAGTATATCATTAAAATCATTCCTGATACTGTATGTAATAATTGCAAAAATTGAATAAAAAATCTTCAAACAGGGCCATATTGGCGTGTGACTGAGAGGGGAGTGATTTTTTTACATCGGCACCTCTCTCATAAGCCTCTCTCCTTCTCACCCGTCCTTCTGTCCTCTAAGATGTGTGTCGCATCGTAGACCCTTTAAGCTTGACTAAATTTACTGCCCTATCTGGTCTGTAAAAAAAAACGTGTAGACAACGAAGCCTGGCCAGATGATTCCTGAACTAATTATCGTCCTATTGACGTTTGTTCTCGTCTTCCCGGTTCCTAGTTCAAGTTCTGTGTGCCAGTTTTGTATGTTCTTGTCATCCTTTCTATCCTGGGCTTCAGTGTTTCCCTTTTTCCTGGCATAAAACATGTCTTAGGTGAAAAATTCCCTGTTCTGAAACCTGCCTCATAGGCTAATTCTGTCCCTCACTTTCCATCAAGGTCAGGGAGTTGGCCATACTTGACCCAAAAGAATGACTCACTAGTGGTAGAGCCAAGGACAGCTATAAGAAAGATATTTGGGGATTGAACATTTTCTCAATGACCTTACAGTCTACCATGCCATAGGCTTAACTCTGCTTTTCGTCATTACTTTGCACTGATCTGGCAAAGAGATTGCATTTTAAAAGTATTGAATACCAGAGAATGCTACATTTTAACATTCTAATATCAAGTTTTATTTGAAATCTCAGGAGCACTAGGTGTCCGCTCAGTCATCTTAGAGAACTGAAATGGTATCGTTACTAGGAACAAGCTGACTATTTGGACAGCTGCTCATCATACATCATTCAGTCTGTCACTAAGGAGTTCTCACACAGATATTTATCTGTGATATAATTTCTCAAGAACATGAATCAAACTTCATGTTTGGTGAGATTTCCATTGTCACACATTCATCGTTTATATATAGTTCGCATAGTTAATTGTGATATCATGTCACCGTGTATCCTAGCTCTCAATGAGGGAGAAAGGTCACTGTCTCATTTTCATTCATTTTCCTTTGTGGCATATAGTCATGCAACTTCCTTGTAAACACTTTCAGAGACAGAGAATTCACTGTTTTGCAGGGCAGCCTATTCTCTTTGCAGGATAGTCCAAGGTTACTGTGCAGGATTGTCCAAGTTAAGAGGTTCTTCGTTATAAGGAGGTAAAATCTTTCTCTCAACCACTTTCTCATAGTGGTCATAGAAGCCAGAATGTCAAATATCTTCAATAGTAGAAATAAGGTTGGGCCCATAGAAAGTCTATATTAGTAATCCTCAATTTGTGGGATAAGTTAGATGGTGAGCATAATAGAATCACCAGTAAATAGCTATCGAAAAGAAAAGTCCAGGTTCCTTCTGCCAAGATATTCTAATCTATTAAGTGTGCCTATGGGTGGAAATTAAGGGAGTGTAAATTATGTTTAATTCAATTTTT